CCAAGCGTAGCAGAGCCGCCTCGTCCATCTCCAGTCTGAGTTTTGCAAGGACCGTGTATTTTAATTAAAGACATTTAATTAGTCTGCCCATAATCTGTCAAAGCTCGCATGCCGAGGCATAATTAATGTATTGAACCTCTACCTTGCAACTTCCATTATATGCACGTTTCCAAAACAAATCTGCACTTGTGTTTGAAGGGACATTACAATAACAGTTCTTAGCACTTCTTGTTACTAGAATAACAGGATTGTGCATTTATCAAGTGGCTTTCCCCCGAGGCTGTCCAAAGGGCATCAGTAAGATGTGTGTGTACTCAGCACCTTCCGAGATTGAGCCACAAGCACACGATCAATATTTATAAATTACACTTCAAACTTAAAGCTGTGTGGGGCTTCCTGGGGGGGTGGGTTAGGCTCTGTTTGGTTTCCAGTGGAAGCAAAACAGATACTAAAGCCCTGAATCTGAGTTACACTGAAAGCCAAATTTTCAGTGCTTAAAATTCCAAGACAAGCTCTCCCAAATAGCTCAGCTCCCATCTGGGAACCCAAATAAGTGTTTAGATTGTCAGAATTGCTTAGCACACGGGGGCTGAGGCTTGGCTGAAAATGTGCTTTCAGCTATGGGTGATCGTTGGCCATTGGGACCGCCGGCTCTTCCTACAACTGAGTCACGTCGATGTACTTTAACACGGCACAATTAGGGCAATAAGTTAAATTATAGGAACACAAGACCGTCATGATAAAGATAGCATGCTGTCCTTCGGAGATACCTGGCTCAACGCGAGAGCACAGCCTGGGCTGCCATGGGGAAGACAGAACAGAAAGCGTATTTCAGCAGGGAGATTGCTAAGTGAGCTAACCACTTGGAATATTGAATGGTGGAAGCAATATTTTGACCAACCCTGGTCCTTAAACTTCAGCTAGGTCAAGCAGTTCTCCCTGCTCCCTGCTCTGTTTTAGCCCCAGCCGTTTTGTGGCCCCCGAGCACGGAGCCATCGCCGTTATTTCCCTTTGTCTCTGCTCCTCCTTGTTCCAGTACACAGCAAATATATTTCACAGGAAGAACAATATTCATAAAGCCGAGCGGGAGCCCTCTGAGCGATGGAGCCCCAGACAGCCCTGCCGCGGTACCGGGCTGGTGCTCAGCGTGCCCGGGACACATTAAGGCCGGAGGAATGCTGCGGCTCTAATTGCCCCGGCCTTGGCCTGGCATAAATCAGCTCTGCTCCCCGAAGAGTCACCCGCGCCTTCGGCAGCTCTGCCAGCAGCAGCCCACGTCGTATCCGACCCATTCCTCATCCCACTTCGCCGCCGCACTGCCAGTTCTTGTGTGTTAACTAAAGATGGAGACCTGGAGACTCGAGTGCTATTGTGAGTCACTGCTTCAGCCGGGTTCTTTATTATTATTAACGATGAAATACCGAGGCTGGGCTGCTAATGAGTCTAAGCTCCCTCCTGTGTGTTTATTTTTCTTCCCCCTTCAAACTGTCATTTCAGAGTAAATTACTTTTCCCTGCATCTTTGTCAGGCAACACCGTACCGGTTCCTCCACCCCCATCTCGCCCTCTGCTCTAATTTCAGGCTGATTCAGTTTCTCTCAATGCAGTTTGCTAAGCAAAGTACAGCACATCCTCCCATCTGTCTTACTTAAGTGGCACAATGCGCCTCAACAGCAGATAGAGACATCATTTTTATTACGCCGAGTTCTGGTTCTTGTTTTTGCTCTGAATTATTTACTAAGCCATTACCAGAAAAGGGGGGAGAGGTTTGGGGTTGGAGGAAAACAAGTGGCATTTTTAAGGGGGGGTGAGGCGGGAGCAAACAATTTTTCAAGCATCACTCAAAAACTCTGCTGTGATTTTCTCGCCTTTGTTCCATCTCGTGCTAAACATGTTTGTGTCAGGCAAACAACCCACATTAGATGGAATTTCACACCATTCACGGCATCAGTGTCTCCAGCCTTAATGTGTATTATGTTCAAACATGCAACGTAATCCATCACAAACCCCTGCAGACCTTGCGCTCTCCTCCAGATTTATCTGTTTGAAGCCTCCCTCTCCATGTTCGCACGTAGCCAACCTTCTGTCTGTGGGTTTTTTTATTTATTTGGAAACAGCAGAGCAGATTCGCAGGCAGTGTACGCTATCACAGCTCCCCTGGCTTCTCGCCCGCGGATTTATCCCGGCAGAGGAGACTTGCTCGCTGCTGGCTGGAGGCTGCGGTTGTGGGATTAACTCGGGGTTTATCTCGGGGTCTGTTCCAAACTGACCGAACTGTTTACATCAGAGTCTTCCGAGCGGCTGTGTGCGAGTCGCAGCCGTGCTGGCATTGCCTGCCCGCTCCCCAGACTCATGCGGAAAAATTTTATTCTGCCAGGAGGAAAATATTTTGAAAGCAAGCACAAGGTTTGCTACAGCAGGCTCCTGAGGGAGCCTGACCCGGGCACTGCCACGCTGCTGCCGGGGCTGTTTCCTGGCTCTGACAAGGAGCAAACCCAAGTGCGACAGGGAGAGCTTTTGTTTCGATGGCAGAAGTTGAGGTAAATCAATGCAGGAGCGATCAAATCCAAACCGGTCCAATAGGGAAGAAAACCCGTGCTTGATTTGAAACCAGAGGAGAGCAGTTACTTCTCTGAAAGGCACGCCAGAATCAGTGCCATTAGATTAACATGGAGATATTTACATCAGTTCAGGAGAAACAGGTAAAGTGTTAAGATATAATTCACAGAGCAGCACGGCGGTGGGAGACGTACCTGTCCTTACTGATAAGGCTTTCCTCTCGGGGCCATCTCCTGTGAATTTTGTACGCCTGTGCACAGAGGGGGTCTGTCTGGGGTTTCTGATAGAAGCAGCAGGAAATGTTGTGGCGTGTTTAATTCTGCTTTTCATCAGAGACTTCGTTTTTACCTCCAGGCCTGTTTTCTTTTAGCCCCGTCCCCCCGTCTCAGCTCGTTCCTTTCTCAGTGCACATCCCCACTTATTGCCACGCGGTGCTTACCGTCGTGGTGTGTAAACACAGCAAAACCAGAGAACAAGGCCTCCCACATTTGAAGCAGAATAGAAATTTTGAGTTTTTTAGTTGCTGAAGTGTTCAGAAACACAGGGAAAAAAAAATAACCTCCCTCTGCCTTAGTCCAAACCAAAGGTGCCACGTCAAATACTCCGACCCAGTGCTGCAGATGAATGGGGGCACATTGGGTTACCTCTCCTACACAGATCCTGCAGACCAGGCTACCACACAAGATCATTTGCTAGCCACTGAGTGTGTAGGAAGGGGCACAGCACGGGGTGAGACCCCACCGATGTGTGCACGACCCTGCTGGGGCTGCGGAGATCCCTGCACGCCGAGCTGTGCGTCCTGGAGCCGCCGCTTCCAAGGGGGCGCCTCGGTGCACGGCCTCCACGCTCACGTTTTGCATAGGTGGGTGCACATATGCTTAATTGGTCTCCACATGGCAGGAGCAGTTTGCATAAGCCTTCGTTAGTCTTTCGGCAAGGCTGCCGGTTCCTGTGAATGGGGAAGGAGCAGACGGGGCGTCGGGGGAGGAAAGGCTTTGTTGGCCTCGCTGCTCATGTGAAAGAGCGCGCTTTGTGCTCCGAGGCCAGCTGTCTCCCCCTCCTTTCTTACATCCTGGCAGCAACTTTCTTCACGCCTTTCCAGGAGCCCTTGCCAGGCTGTCTCTGCGCGAGGGAGACGTGTTTGTCCTGCTGGTGCATATGCTCTCGGCTTTATCTCGGGTGCTGCTGCTGGCTTGTGTGCCATGGGACCTGCAGGGCTCGGGGCACCCGGCCGGGTTGTGCCGGGCACGGTGCACGAGCCTGGGCTTCGCTCCCTATAATGGAAGGGTCCAGGCTCAGCGAGCCACTGGACAGGAGAGCCACGAGGGCAGGAGATGGGGCTGGGGGCTGTGGGGAGCAGTGGGATGCTCGGTCGTATGGGGCAGGTGAGAACCCGGCCCCCCAACAGCCGCTCCTGAGTCTGCACGTGCACCCTGGTGATGATTTTAGCAGGCAGTTAGATAAATACCCACCAAAAGTAGACTGGGCAGAGCAGGCCTTGTTTGGGGGGAAAAAAACATGGACTAGACCATTAATAGCCCTCTTTTCTACAAATCATTCCCAAATGAGACCCCCAAAAGGGGGTCCCCAGGCACTCCCCAGGCCCTGCTGCAGCCACCCCGCGGCAGTAGGGGGGCAGGTGATGGGGGACGGGGCCCGTGCCGGCACTACAGCTTCGTCTGCAAGCTCAAAAACTTCAATTGCATATTTTAATGTGCGTAATTTAGGAAAATATGGCCCATTCCATCTGCTTTGCATTAATTTGGATGACTATTTAAAAATACAGGTTGAAATATTACAGATACTAATAATTTCTCCACATGGCTAGCTCTTAATGGATGGAGAGGAAATTAAGAATAAGGCTTTTTATCAATTTTCACAGGCAAGCTTTGCCATAATCCTTTTATTTCTTTGAGAAGTGTGTTTGTTTATAGGCATTTTATTTGTTTAATAATTTCCCTCTTTTTCTTAATCTTTGCAGTAATTATTTCACATTCTATAAATATATAAACTAATTTTATTCCTTATAAATATTGTTACGTTTCAACGTCTTTAAAAGCTCTCCTTCTCCCAGTGAGTTTCAGCCACTTCCCAAGCATCCAAGCCTGGTGGCCTGCCGCTGTCTGTTCTGGTTCTGCCTGCAGGACTCAGCTGACATCGAAGCCCCAAGATAATAGATAATTTTCTCTAATTCTGCCCCAGTGCATTGTTTCTCCTTGACCTGCTTTTATAGACTAGCTGGCCATTGACTTCTTGGCCACGTCCTCTGAATTGAACAGATAACGACAACATCATTCAAAGTGGTGCTTGAATATCAGTTCTGGTTAGCATCACGGTTATATTACAAAAAAAGGAAGGAAAAAAAAAAAAAAGCAGGGGAGCAGTGACTCAGGCGTGAGTTGTAAGCCTCACTAATTGCTTGTTTATTTTTCAAAACTGCAGGTGCCTGAAGTTCCTGTTCTCAATTAATCACTGCAATGGATGGAACCTGCCTGGTAATTGCTGTTGAGCCGTGCCTGCGGCTGGCTCCGGATTGCTGCAGTGGAGGTATAACGGGGCTGGGGCTGCTGGGGTCTCTGCTTGTGGTTGTGAATATTTGGCTTTCTACTGAGTGACCTGGCTCAGGAGAGGTCTGCTCCAAGGGTGGGCCTTTGGGGGAAGGACAGCTCTGAAAGGAGATGAGGAAGAAGCTGGATGTGAGGCTCAAACCTTGCCGTGACCTTTCTGTGCTGGAGCCTTCATGAACTCTGTGTTTGTGGAGGAAGATCTCAGATTTACTTCTAACAGATCACCACGGGAAGTATGTAATTCTACTTTTCTAACCTTCCTAGGAGTTTTTGTCTGCCTTATAGGCAGGATTTGAGAAGCAATACAGCTTTTACTGTAAGCTAAAGCCTGAAGTCTGGATGAGACACAGGAATGTGGGATCTGAAATAAATTGAAGGGATGTTGTATCCCCAGGTGGCAAAAAATGCTGTGTGGATGCCTCCCAGAGGGCTCCCTTGCACATGGCCGGTGCTGTAGGCTCGTGGCAAAAAGGAGCAGTGGGGTATGGGGGCACCTTCCCCCCAAGCAGCCTCCCAGAGCCTGTCAGAGCCTGGTGGTCCCTGGCACTGCTCTGATGGATCCCCCCACAGTCGGCTTTGCCCTCGGCAGAGGGCTCCTGGGGCCGTTTTAGCATTGCCTCGGGGAGGTATCCATTAATATTGCCAGGGCTCTGGGGTTGCGTGGGTGACAAAGACGTTCAGGAATCGTGGTGCTGTGTTAAATGCTGGTGTCTTCTGCAATACATCATCGGTTTGACTTTGAGAAGTTAGCTACACACGGACAAATACAAAGAGGAAGGAGAAAAGAGCCTGGAATACAAAGCCAGGTGGGTTAACCACTGGTCTGATGGCTTTTGTGTAGGCATTGGAAGGGCAGAGGAATCCTCACGTTGTATCTTTTTGCCCACTGCATTAGGAGACGTGTGCCATGCAAATATTTCAGGAGCTGTTTGGCATCTCTCAAGATGAACGATGCTGTGTAAAATATGATTATCTTTTGTAATGCATCACCTACACGTACTGCAGCGTAATTTGTAACTTCCTCCAATTTCTATGTACAAGAAAATACTCAGAATACTGAGTAGGGAAAGATAAGTTTCATTAACAGCAACACTGACACTGCATATATATCTTAAATTGCTGCTCTAAAGGTGAAATCAATAGCTGCGCTTACACGAGGGCTCCGACGCTCCTGAAAAACCCCACGTACAATTTTTGTTTAAGATGAATGCTTCTGAGGTTTGGAAAGCTACTGTTTGCGTGAATGAGCTTCCAGATTTGCTACATATTACTCATAAATCTGGAAAGAAAAAAGTTGTTTAACTCCTGTTCTACAAAAACATGGGCATTAGATTAGTGAAAGAAGGCAAACATAACAGATGAAAGCTATTAGAGCTGGCTTCGGTTCTGCTGATTTCATTCTTTGAATATTTCCAGTCTGTTAACTTAGAGAATCCATCTACTTCTGACCTTAACCTTCCCACAGTGTTTATTATGTTTAGGTGGGGAAAAGGAGAATAGTTTTAAAACAAATCAAGGTAAGAAATGAGTTATTTGTCTGCGTGTTTGCTAAATGGAGAGCTCATCCTCATTTTAGACGACACAGCCCACATTTGTTAAGAGGACAGTGTTTGAGCAAGGCAAATGCATCCTGTGAGCAGCAGCTGAGATGATTTGGAGTCAACCAGAATTTGTTGCCATGCCCTGTCACAGCGTCAGACCAGATCCATAGCACTGGGATGTGGGGCAAAGAAGGGATTTACCAAAGCTGTAGGTCTTTGGACACCTGTCACTCAAGACTGTGTAAGGTCACCTACGGGGACATGTAAAATGGTTCCAAGTTCCAGTTATGAAATGCCAGCACGAGGTCAAGGCGATGGAGTTCTGTGGTGTAATTCACTTTCAGGTGTGTTTAAAGTTGTGCAGCCATTCAATCCCCTCCTCCTCTCTACAGAGAAGGTGGTGATGTGTTCTGTGAAGCAGAAGGCTGGGTTAAAAAGGCGGCTTTTGATTATAGACGTGTGGTCTGGAGAGACACTGTGGAAACGGGGCCGGATTCACTGCCCCAGCAGCATTAGAAATAACCTCCTTTTGTCAGGCCCACACCGTCAGTTCTTCTGTTTGTGTTTTTGTTGCCTGAAACCACTCATTTTAGCACTTGCATAAATATTGTTGCAGCTATCCAAGACCTTGAGGCCTTTATTCCCATACCTGCTATTGCCAGTCAATGTCATCCCTCCTGCACCGTGCAGGTGCTGCGCTGTGCTCCCGCTTCTTTCCCAAAGGCAAGTTCAGAATAAGATGACAAAAGGAATGCGTTAAGTAACACTCGTCAGTGAAGGCCAGAGTTTGAATGAACAGGGGACCAACAACTGCTACCAGGAGGGAGCGGCAGAGGGATGCCAGCGTTTGCTTCCTGCAGCTAAAATATTGCAGCTTCATTTTTTTCAGCGACACCTCCTCGACAGGGCTGTGTTCCCCCACCTCCCACCGTGGTACAATTTGTTGCCCTTTGCAGAAGCCTCGGTTGCTCTAAAAACATCCAGTTGGGGTGCCACGGCTTTGATCTGCTCCCTCTGGCTCAAGCGTCCATTGGCAGGATTTGTTTGAGAAGTGTTCAAAACCCTGCCTGTTCCTCACGCCCAGGGCACACGGTGTTGGTGCTGGAGGGGCTGAGGTGTCTGAACTCGGTGTCAGGGAGGTGGCACGGGCAGGAGGCTGGACAGAGGGATGGCTGAGGTGCAGGTCTCGAGGCAGCTCTGAAGTTTTCCATGCTCATTGCTTGCTGATAAAATAAAACCATTGAATTGAGCCCATTATTTCTCAAACTCCAATTTCAGAGCAGGGGAAGGAGGAGGAGAACACAGCTGGCTCCTTCACTTATCCTATAAGCCCGTAAGCCCAGCGGCCAGCGAACAGACCATGCCTGGGAGGAAAACATCATATTTCATGAAATTTAACATCCAACTTCGGTGCCGACTTCAGGTGAAATAGATCAGTTTGATCGTGTTTCTCTCTAGGGGGGAACAGAAGTCTGGGCACGGGAGATATCCTCAGGTACCCGCTCAGCTCAAGCAGCCCGATATTCCCACAACAAACGTGGGACATTAACGGGGCTTCTCCCGAGGTGCTCTGCCCTGTGCCGAGAGCTGCAGGGCTCATCGCTTAGGAGGTGGGATGCGTTTGTGCTGCACATACAGGTGCCAATCCCAGAACCACAGCAGTGGCAGTGATGTTTTTACACACGTTTCTCACCGTCTCAGAACTTAAGATAGGCTCTCGTGGGTGATGAGAGGGAAATCTTGTCCGTGTCGCTGCAGATCCTCCTGCTGCTGGGCTCGTTTAGCCCAAGTTGTTTGGGCCCCGTGCTCTCTTTCTTTAACCGCATCTGCCGAATTAAATTCCCTGCGCTGACAGTGATGCTTTCAAAAGCTCCGAATCAATTCTTCAATCACTCCGCATTCTTAGCTGTGATTAAAAACATGTGTCCCCTAATTAAGCTAACGAGAAATTGTTAATTGGCACAAAGCCCCCCTCTGAGTGTGCTTGTTAATGTCACCATCGCTTTGACAGGAGAAGGAATATAAATGAAGGGCAGGCGGCCGTACCAGAATTCAAAGTGGGACTGCTGGACGTGGGCTTTGTGTGTCAGGCGATGGCCATGGGCTGGGGGACAGGGAGGCAGGGAACGGGGGCAGGACCAAAGGTGGTGGTCTCTGCTGGTGTTTCCTTGTCAAAACATGGCCTGGCTTTGTGGTCCTTCCTGCACTCCTAAATCCTTCCCAGTCCTCTGCTGTAAATGGGAGGAGGACGCCTGCCTGCGTGCTGAGCAAAACACTCCAAAAGGGGGAGCCTTGGCCGGGAGAGGAGCAGCCAAGGGCTGGGTCCCTCCAGCTGCTGGCTGGGTGCAGGGGCTCTGCGCTCCCTTCTCCTCTCCTTCAGGCTGTGCAGGATCAGTGCACGGCTGCCTGCATCTGACCGGGTCCACCTGGTTTGAAATGACACCATACCTCAAACGAGGTCCGAAATCCCATTTCCCTAATCCTTGTCAGGTCCCAGAGGGACGTTCAAAGAGTTAACGATGATGTTTGGATGCGGAGCTCGGCTCGCCTTGGTGGATGAAGGAATCCCAGTGCTGGCACAGCGCTCGCTGCCATATGCAGCCGCGCCAGTGATATTTTCCTTCATCATTTTTCTTCTCTGTGTGTTCATCCGAGGTATTCCCGTTCCAAGCTCCTGTTCTGTCCAACACACTACCCAGGCTGTAGCGGCAGTAGTTGCCTCTGCTAAATGAATGTTTGCTAATAATGCCTTCCCGTCTGGATGCTCATCGTGTCTGCTACGCGTATTTGTCATTTCTTCCATCCCATTTCCATTATAACATAAATAACAGACAGATTGGAACCCACACTGTCCTGCAAATTGGCAGTTGCTATTTTGACCACACTGCCTTGTATTGAGCTATAATAAAGTATGCTCTCCTAAGATTCTGCCCTGCGATGGATAAAGCCCAACCGGCGCGGTGTGGGGAGCGTGGCTATGGAAATGAAGTTTTAGCGTGTCACATCCTAGCCTGGTCTATCAAGCTGCAGCAAGGAGAGGAAGAGATGAAACAAAGTGAACGCACGCTGCTTTTATCATTTGCTTGGATCCTGGTGCTTCAGGTTGAAGTCTTCCTAAGCAAATCTATCACTTTCGTGCCAGATGCAATCACCTATTTCTTTCCATGGCTGGATGCACAAACTTCAAAAGTCAAAACTGACTGTACTCTCAGATCTTTTGATGGATGCAAGGCACCATTTTGATTACTTCTGCACAGCTGAGCAGGGCACAAATCCTGAGACACTGAAAGGAGAGTGGTTTGGGTAAACACAGGATTAGCTCACAAGCACTAGGGCTATTTTTAGCATTTATGCTCTTTTTTATTCTAAGTATATGGAATATTGCAAATACCGTGATACCAAAAATCCTGTAATTTGTGCATTTTGCTATGCACCTGATTCCTGGGGCTGCACGAGTGTGTCTGTAGTTAAGAGATCTATAGCCCTGGGGGAAAGGCATGGTTGGGCCATGAGAAGTTATTTATCGGAGCTCTGTTCCTTTACTACCGGGACCACTGATTGCAAAACACTTGTTTTAGACATTCGAAAGGTCAGAGCTGCAACCTTGCCTCCTGGTTCATGTTGTTATGTGCATGTCACAGGTGATGGGAGCACTGCTGGAGGAGGAGCGCAGGCTGTGAGGAAGGGCATCGCACCTGGCCTTGGCAATGAAGCAAGGAGGAGACTGGACTACGGGACTGCTGCTCTCAGGTAGGAGAGCTCCAGGGAATATTGATTTCTGCAGGGAGGAGGAAATAATGTTTTGGATAGTTTTAATATGTTACGTAAACTACAACTCTGAAAAATACCGATCTGCAAGACCACATCCTTGTTAGACCTGCTAAGTACACCCAGATGGAAATGTATCTCAAACCGCGCACAACTGACAGATTTGTCATAAAATCTAGTCTGTTCTGTCTAAGTTGATAAGGATGCCACTCTCTGTATCACACAAGGCGAGGTGTCTCAGACAGAGAAAAGCTCATATTTCTGTTCACTGAGGTGTTGCTGACACAATTTAGCATGCAGTATCCAGCTCGTTTAGAATTCAGTGCCAACTTCATCCGCATCATAAAGTGAATCCTGTTTTACAATTCCCTTGAACATTCTCTAAATGATGGCATCTGAAAACAAGCAGCACGGTTTATATGCTGGAATTGTACTTTTGAAATTAATTCTTAGCAATATAATCCAGGATATCAGTCAGACATGTATGAGCAGAGGGACTGCAGTGCCTGGGAGCTGGGACTGGAGCCTTTACACGTGAGCCAAGAGCCGCGTGTCTGCAGCTCACCGCGTGCCTGGCTCATTTCGGGGCTCTGTGGGTACGGGGTGGGAACAAATACTTGTAGGAAATGTGCATACAGTGGAAGGGAAGTTTGAAAGGATTGTGTACACTGAGTCAGTTTTTTGTCTTTTTTTTTTTTTTTTTAATTTTTGGGGTGGGATGTCTTTCTTTCCAGTGTTCCCAGGGCATATCTACTTGTGAAAATCAAAGGTATTCTTAGGAACCCACCAGTTATAATGATATTCAAAGTTCATAATAGAATTCCTGTAAAAAAAATGAACAAAAAACTTGAGAGATGAAGTCCAGCCAGCTGGTAGCACACTAGTCAGGCCATGTACCTATCCTGGAGAAATGTTCAAGTTTCCTCTCTGCTTGCCTCAGTCGTCACAAGTGAACCCCCCAGTTTCTTACCAACTGTTCTGCTTCTCTTATTGTGGGTTTGTGCTGACCTGGCCCTGTGGAAATCTGATTTCAGCTTGGGCACCTGACTTACTCTAATAGGACTCATCTATCCCTAATTATCTTATTTCTAATGTTTCTATTCCCTTGGCATGCAATCTTAGCCTAAAAAGTAGATGCATGCATGCACATGGAGATTTACAACTTGTCCCATTTGTAAGTCAATTTAGAACTTTCCATATTTTAATAATTCAGAGACGAACAGGATTTCAGTGTGGCACAATCTCAGTCGCAGGAGCACCAGCAGTTGGCCAATGATCGCTCGTCTGTGATTCAATAAATGATAGATAACTGCAAGTCAGCGCTAGGCATCCGAAACAGGTGTTGGAGAGCTATAAGTACGTATCTCTTCTAATGCATTCTTTATAAATTATTTGCTGGGACTTTCAGCTCTGTGGTGCGTCAGCTCAGGAGGGATGTGAAAAGCTGCCTTTGTGCAGAGTTAAAGTGATCTGCTTTCATGGTAATAGTTTGTTTTAAAATTACGTTACAGATAACCAAAAGGTAGATGGCCCTTTTGTAGGCTGTACAGCAGGTAAGGTGTCCTCCTGAGGTTCTTTAACAGGCTGCTCGCCCTCGGCTTGCTGCTCATGTCTCTGCAATGTGGGCTCTGTCCTGTAAGCAGAGAGCTGGTTCACTCCTGCACCACCACGTCGCTCAGATCCATTCTGAGCTTGACGAGCTTGGAAGGCTGGCTATGAAGTTTCAAAGAGAAAATCGTGTGATTTATTCTTCTGTGACCAATGGATTTCATGCAATTATTCCAAAACTCTATCTGCATTTCTATCTACTCTTTGAAAACAAATGGAACTCATCAAAAAGAAAAAAGATGGAGCCAGCCTGCTGAATGGATCAGAGGCAAGAAAAAAGTGTCACTCTTTAATGTAACTTGTCCCTGATTACACGATTGTTCTGTTCTGAGTAACTCAGGAAGATTATGGTAAAAAGCCAGGGATTAAAAGGAGACTTTGAGTCAAGTAATTCTTTTGTTAAAATCTTGGATAAGTGCTTTCACTTTTTCAAAATATTTGGATACCTCTGGCTTCTACTGTCTTCTGCCTTGATCCAAAATGCTGAAATTCCCTGACAGGAAAGCCTGGTTCTGTTCCATTCCCACGTCAATTCTGGATGTGGAAATGCCTGATGTGGCATGCGAGGGGCTCGTTCTGTGAAATGATGTGGCCCAAGCTCTGCTCCCCAGCTGGAGGGGCTGCAGCCTCACTTTAGGAAATGGACCTGTTCGTTTTTCTTCTGGTGTTTAGACAAGTACCCATTGCAGCTGGTTAATGAAATACCTCGTGGTCCTGGTGGCGTAAATGAAGGTGATGAGCATGTGAGAGCAGCCCGGTGAATGTCACCGGCCTTTCTTAAGCTGTCCCCGTTTGTTCCTGGTGGGATGTGGTCTGACACCCAACACTGTCACAGTAGAAGAACTGAAGGAAGTCTCAATCCCTCTAGCATGAAAAAATAACTCGGTACATGTTTGAAACACCTCATATTTCATTCCTTAGGCTGGTTGTTCTAGCCCCTGTGCTCAAAGCCTTTTCACACACAAGGATCCCGTAGGTAAACACCCAGTATCTAATCTAATGATCTAAGTGCTTTAGTTAATTTGTTTATTCAATTTGCTGGTAGATACACTCCAGAAGAGCCTTCCCCTCTTGCACTCACATGGCTCAGAGGGCAAGAAGGGAGCAAATGGAGGCTGCATAAAAATGAGTGTTACAGTGGGCACGGGTAGGAAGAAATGCAGTTGGGAGAAAATTCCTGAGCACAAACAGTGGATCCTGCAACTCTTACCAGGGTAGAATGCACAAAACTTGTTAATGTTCGTGTGGCACATCCAGTTATTCTCTAATGATTTCGATCATTCTTGTGAGTGGTAATGCATCTTCCTTTACATATTTACATATATATATATATACACATACATTCTCAAAAATGAAATGTAATTTCTTGGCTAGTGGAACTATCTCTAAAGGTAGATGCATGTGCAGGTTTTTTTCCTCTTCTCTTTCGTAGTCATAATGCATTTCATGATTTCTTTGCTTTACAGCATCCTTTTAAAATGACACATTTTATCAATTCTCTGGGTAATATTGATGTTTTGCCCTTTTAAACATGTCATTTGATTTTCTGATGTTCCTCTCTTATTCTCCATCTGTTTTCTTGTAATGCTTTCATTTGGTGGCAATTTCTCATTGGGTCCCTGTAGGTTTATTCCAGGAGTTGCCTAGAGCATATTTTTCTCGTGTTTTGAAATGTCTGACATGCGACCAGATTCCTCCAGTGTGTGAGTGGTGCAGGCACTGGTCCTGTCCTCACTGCGATCTTATTTAAGTCTTTCATCATGCAGAGCACATTTTCTTGCCTTCGAGATCCCTGTGGATTCAATCAGAGAACAATTTTTAAAAGCAAGTAAGGGGAAAAAAAATACACCATGGTATTTTAGATTGTGGACGTGGTTTGTGTGGCTTTGTTGGAGGTGTTCCCTGGAAAAAAAGGAATCCCAAGGTATCAGAAAACGATAGGGAAACTTGTGTTTTCTCCAGTCCTCCTCCACGGTTTGACTTGCTCGAGTTTTCTCGGTGTGATGATCGTGGGACACTGGTGCCAGTGCATGGGGGCTGCTGCGCTGCTCAGGATAGCTCTTTCCAAAAAATACATGTCCATAGAAAATCTGGGCAGATTTCAAATTGATGTGACATGGATTTTCCTTTAAATTTTCAAGTAGATTTTGGAAAATATCTGAAAAGTTATAGAAAAGTTATTTCAAAAATCAGGGAAACGCTGATATTGAAGTGAAGTTTGAAGGGGGGTCAGGTCCTGAAAGCTTTTTGCATAGGAGGGCTCCAGAGTTCAGGAGGCTTCTGGATTGATTCTGAATTAGAGAGCTGGAGAGGTTGGAAACCCACATTCCTGACCTTTGAGATGAGCTGCCCTGAGTCAGAAAGGTCCTGAACTGGGAATATATCTCAAACACTAAAAAACTTAGCTCCTTTAGTTCTGCTATTTTAAATGGCTCTAGACTTTTTTCTTTTTTTTTCTTTTCTTTCTTTTTTTTTTAAATTTAAGTGTAATAGCTGTGTGTTTTTTTTCTATTTCATTACCTTTGCTATGGCTGACAAGCCGCAGCCAAGGACTGTGTATTTACTCTTGGTTACAAAGGAAAAAAGTTTCCTGGAATTAGTGGAAATTGCATCCATGTGTGAAAACTCAGCATTTGGGACCATTGTGCCCATTATCCACCAGTGAGTGTAATAGGTTTGAGCAGATTTTTTGTCTTGGACTTGTGAATGTAGCTTCCAACTGTTAGCTACTAAATAGCTCCTTCGGAAATACATTCAGAATTATGCTCTGTGTGTCTTAATGTGAAAGCTGTGTGCGTATGAGAGATTTTCCAATAAGGTTTAAGCAGCCCAGGCTGATACTTTCTCAACAGTTTTTCTTGCCGTCTAAGAAGATATTTAGGTATATCTGATATATAACCTCCATATCATCTCAAATGGTCTTTCCAGGTCTGTACTTACCCAGGCTGACTTCAGGGACAAATGATGTTCAGCTGCATTAACACGGCAGATGGAGCATTATTCCAGCCTGGACGGCAGGAGAACAGAGTTTACCTCCAGACTCAGCAGATGTCAATTTATATTAACGAGCAATGGCAACACACAATATATTTTATTTTCCTTGTAACCTGTCTTCATTACAAAACATCTGCATACTTTATATCCCGTTCCAGATGTTTAAAATTAATGCTGTAGCAAACAGCTCACATTTTGCCTTTCACCATTTTTTTTATCAGCATAAAAATTAGCTCTGATACAAATGAAAAACCTTGTGATGGTTTTCACTGTGTTTTGGAGGAAGTCTGTATTACGCTATCAATTTCAGTAGCCCAGTGTGCTAAAAGGAGCAATAAGACAAGACTGCTTGTCACATATTTATGAGCTTATGAACCTTT